TTTCACAAAGGAAATATCCGATAAGTATCTTTCATGTAGCTATGCCATCTTCTGTTTGCAATAACAAACCCCAGGCTGCTCTTTGTCACATTCTTTGCCAGCATGGACCCATAAAAGGAAACACATGACAGAAATATCCTTTTCCCTCTTCAAAAGAGACCAATTAAAAGAGACCAGGAAGGAAAGCCTATGATGTCATTTCATATTTTCAGGAATGTGCAAACGAGTGCTGTGACCCTACAAACTGTAAACTGAAACCTGGAGCAAAGTGTGCAGAAGGGGCATGTTGTGAGAAGTGCCAGGTAAGGCTTTTATATTTACAACACTAAGAGGGATTTTACCTAACTCCTTACTACTAATATGAAAATGTGATCTCTCTGCTTACTATGATGAAAAGCATTTTAATTCTATTCCCATCTCTTCTTCCAGTTTAATCCTTATGAAAATATCCATAGGGAGGACAGTTTAACAAAATTTTAGCGTTGTCTCAGTCTAAAATGCATTCCTTTGACATCTTAAATCACACCTGTGAAAATAATTCATATCCTTCTTTCACTGAGTTTGTGTGAAAACCCAATTTAAATAAAGGTGGGCAAAGTTTAGGAATGATGTCCTAACTCAGTTTCCTGACTTTCTGGAAGGTTCTAAGAGGTCTCCGGTAATGCTTTGACATTTTTCTTTCTGAGATTTTAAAGGCGGAAATGGATTCAGGAAACTTTTAGGGGTCAAACTGCTTCTTTTACAACCCTTAAGTTCCCCATCTGCTCTCTACAGCCCTCAATTCAGCTATTTTGGTGGCATCTTCTGAAGGGGCAGGAGGACCATGAAGAGAGCGGTGCAAGTTTCTCTTTCGTTCTTTATGGGATCCCAGTTGACTCTGTAATAAACTTGTTCAGCAGAGGGGCCAAAAGCCTATTATTATACTTCCATCATAGCAACAGAAATCAGCTACTTATTTTTCAGCACATGACATGAAAATTCTATGAATGCTTCTGCCCATGTAAGGAAATGAAAATATACCATGCACCCGTTCATCAATTAATGTTTTGCTGATTTTCAGGAGAGCCAATTGAGTTTTCATTGATGTTCATGGTCAGCCAACACATAGCACTTGCATCTCATGGTGATCATTTTCTCATCGGAAATAGGGCTGGGACCTCTGGGCATTATACACAGTGTCTTAATTCATGGAGCCCATCTGTAACATAGCAGGGATGCCTTGCTTGGTAATCCTCAAGACAGATGAAGAGGAAACTGTGAAACCTGATGTGAATTGTGGTTTAGCTCTTTTAGCCCTAAGGAGTTATAGCTGGAAGTTATTTTCATTTTCACTCACAGATTAAGAAAGCAGGAGCAGAATGCCGGGAAGCAAGAGATGACTGTGACTTACCTGAACTCTGCACAGGAAAATCTGCTCAGTGTCCCATAGATCGCTTTCAAAAGAATGGACACCAATGCCAAAACAACCAAGGTTACTGCTTCAGGGGGAACTGCCCCACTTTGGCAAACCAATGTATTTCTCTCTGGGGGCCTGGTAAGTCAACCTTAGGATTTCAGAATTATGGCATTGCATAAAAAAAGTTAGATAATCTTTACTATTGAACAATTAGCCATAATAAATGATTAATTTCTGTTGTTTTTTGTCTATGTATGCAAGTGGCATAATTTTCCAATATTTTTATGGAGGGGTTAGAGCTCAGTCCTCCAGATCTTTTGGTTTAGGTCCAATCATCTCTAGAGAACCTGGCCAATGGTCCAGCTGGAGTGATGGACTTCAGCCAAAGATTTTTTTTTTTTGGGGGGGGGGGGGGTTTCTTACTACATTTCCAATTTGG